CAGGTTGTACGAAATTACCTTATTGGAAATGGCTCGAAAGGAGTATACGGACGAGATTTAAATGGTTGCAATCGCGTCTACTGACTGACTGACTGAGCTGACTGAGCTGACTACATAGAGCCTGAAATGTCTTAACTGCCTTCCACAGGTCCGCCATGGGTCACGACTGGTACTTTGAACTTTCAAGATGAGTTTCCTTCCGCACTTCCGCATGATGCAGCCTCTGCGGCCCCGTTGGAACTCAGCCGCCTCTGGGAGTGGCATAGAGCCGATACCGTCTTTTGACCTTTATAACACCCTATCTAGTCCGTTTTCCGATTTGACAGCGCCACACAATGGATAAAAATGTAGCACAGATTCAGCCTAGGGGACGTCTCAGGAGCCACTTTTATCGTAAAGAAGGCAAAATAGAGAAATTTCACCTTTCGCGTCTTTAAGATGTTCATGCCTTCTACGAAATCACGACCACCCCAAAGGTAACTCCAAAGCGCACGGTTTAACCTCCTTCTAGAAGAACTTCGGGAGCATATACGCGCGATATTAAAAGCGTTGAAAAGTCTATGCTTCAATCCTCATGAAAGTTTTTCGAACAAGATTTAAGTGTGGCACAGGAACGGGTCCGGGAATTTCTCCCCTAACACGGCGTCGCACACGCCGCACCCGCCGCCTATCGCAGGATTGCGATGGAAGATTGGAGCGCGCAATTTGTGAGGTAGGGGGTCCTTTAATTATTTGAATTGGCTGGCCGCTCTTTTCAATTCCAATGCGGTCTTGATCGTCGTTTATATAGGAGGAGTCATTTTATTAAATCAAGTCTAATAAACATGAAAACTAAAAAGAAAAAGAAGAAAAAATCCAATGGAAAAGCAAGCCAGTCAAGGAAAAATATCGCGTCCTATCGATTGGCGCGAGGCGGGGTGAGTACGGTAATTGCAGTGACATTTGCCGCATGCCGCAATGGAGAATGCCGCGATAGGGGAGAAGTTCCGTTACCCGCACAGGAACGCTTGCAACAATAAAATTGCTTGCTCCATTAATCTTTTAGTCAATTTACTTATTACTTGGAACAGGTTCAATTAGCTTAATTGCTCGAGGATTACATCCTATCAATTGAGAGGTATATTCAGTGCCAAAGTTCAAAGGAATCAGAATTGTCAGGATAAGTAGTAAGTGTAACATTCGGTTGGAAAAAACCTCAGCGACATAAGGCATTGCAACCTCATGGAACCTAACTTGACGCCCATTTCAAGGGATACCATTCATCAACAAAACCAACAATGCCAAGCAGTATGTGGACAAGTGGAGAGATCACATTCTCTTTGACAATAACAAATACAAAATAGGGCGGACTTCTTGCCAGAAGCTCCGAAGACTCGTCCAGCTACCTTTTTGTAAGAGACGAACTTTCGTTCGTTGTCAGTGTCTAACATGAGAGAGTTCGCATCTCGATTATTATTGTAAAAATCTAGATTTAATTGTAAATACCTCATTAGACTATTCCAACGCGCTATTAGAACGTATGCTTCGACAAACAAGAATGAGCGAATCAGAACTTCTAGAAACAATTAACGAGCAAAACCCAGTATCTACTATTATCTAATATTTCTAATGAAAGTTGGCTTTGGAATGCATTTTCACCACAAAATAATTCGCTGGGCACATCTACTATGATAGATGGCTAGCCACATTAAACGCAATATAATCCTTTTGTTTGATTCAGTTGACGTTTTTGTTGATAAAGGGTAATCAGCTTTTCAAATGGAAGTTCTTCATAATTTTTATGTAAAATTACTAATGGATAACCGGATAGTTGAAAGAGATGAAAAAAACTTGTAATGAAAAGCTGAGATACAAAATACGTTAGCCCACAAACGGTCCGAATACGTGAATTTTGCAATTCCATTCGTCCCTTTGTTTCTTTTTGATTCGATGCGGTATCTTAGAATTATAGAATTATATAATAGCTGGTCAGATCCGGGTGCCCACTTCAATACAAATCTTAATCTGGGTGCTTACTGTTAGCACTAGAGCAAGTGTAGTAATTTGATAGCTTTAAAAAGTACTCGAGCGAAACCATCGAAATGAATAAAAATGATAGACGGGAAAAATGGATCCAATTTTACGGCGCGGTAGCCAGCTGCAGGTGAATACCACTGACCCAACAACTTTTTCAAATAGGAATATTTGCAATTTCTTGGATAGGCTTCAACCGTAAGGAAATAAGATGGGCCAACAACGACTGCTTAGATTGTAAGGGAGACAATAAAACAGTGTCAGAACTCTCTGGTCTTGGCAATGAATCCAGTCAAAAGGAGAAAACAAGAAGCGGAAACCGTCTGGGGCGAAAAAAAAGCTCAAGTCTGAGTGAGGGAACACCTCCGGCTTCTGCTCTACCGCGTTAGCAACAATAAAATGATTCGAAAACATGAAAAGCAAATCCTGAACGATGGAACGTGGCTAATCAGCGACAAGCATTCCATTTAGAGCACGAAAAACTGGCAAAGTCGTATTGAGGATTATATTATTATGTCTCATATTTTCATTGATTCTATGCATCAAAAGAGAAAAATAGAAGAACCTCAATATTAGCGTCGCCCATGTTAACTCGCTACTAACTCCCATTTGCCTAAAATTGTTCGAGACGGAAAATTCACTTGGCAGCTTTTATTCAAGCTGTAGTAGACGGATTTGATGCATGGAGCTCCCGAGACAAGATCTTGTGACTCTAAAAAGGAATGATGCAAGGACCTATGAAACGCATTAAGTCCACAATTCCGTTTCCATCGAGATTACTTCAATGGGAGATTTGAGCTGGTAGAGAAGCACCTTCAGTGCAATCAAAGGCATACAGTAGTTCTTGTGAGAACACGCTATCACCCAATTAATTAGATCCCACGTTCCGTCACCCATTTGAAGCGCGTAAAACACGAAACCATGAAAAAAGTGCAGTTTGCATAACTCCAAAGTTAAGCGAATTCTCAAAGAATTCTCGAGAAAACCATGAGCAATTTCAGAAAGAGCATTAGATTACCAAACGACTTTCCTATTAATTAAGAAATTCTATAAATAGGTCATGAATCTCGTTGGATGGATAAAAAATATGTTAGCAACGACCAAAGTAGAGAAAAGCTCTTGCCTCACTATTTTATTCTATCATCAATTGTATCAAATGAACCCTAAAAAGGCGATGAGAAGTAGTATGAACTGAGTATGTGATGAGATTTCTAACTTCTTCGAGTAAAAATTAGCGCAGCACAATAAATAAGACAGCAGAAGGTATTATAGAAAGCAGAACATCCAAGAAGAAAACTTAAAAAAACAACCGGAAAATAGCCTTTCGTAAAAAGAAGTAGCGACTCAGCAATAGAATAAAATGTGGTATGGCTGAGAGCTCCTCAAGAATAAGCGAATCATGTATCCCACCTCTGACCAACATTTAGATTTGCTTGGTCGCTGGCGACTTACCCCTGAGCGAGGTTTTTTGAATTGTTAACAGTTGCCAGTAAACATACCAATTCCTATGAAACAACCAACTCACAAGACATTTAACGTGAGCATTATCGCTCAGCAGCGCTAACTAACATATCGCAGTATGTTCTAAAAGGCTTAATTTACCGCCAGCAAGCGAAGGAAAATGATATAGAGATGATCACTTACTCTGAATTCAGAAAAGCAACTCACGAGCAACACGGGGGTATGAAGCGACACTGATTAGAGGAAACTTTGAACGATGCTCCAGCATGCTTTTGTTCCATATCCGACTTTGCATTTGGTTGTCACCGTTAGTTACGGAGTACTGACGGTCAGCCATTGATGCGAACGACCCTGAGAATTGCTGCTGGTGAAATATCTGACTCATAATCAGCAATAAGCCTGAAGCCTGATGCTTTAGGGTCCCAATTCAGTATATACATTCCGCGCTGGACTGTATAATCACCAGGGTTCGTATATAGCAATTCCCTTGTGGTATATGCATGGGCTTCCATTAGATTGAAGGAACTGCATCTAATGGTTCGTACGCAGAACATTAAGGGTGGAGGAAGGTAGGGACTGCTCGAGGATTAGATTTCAGCTGACACTAACTTTCAAACAACTTTTCCCACAAGCGCGCAACAGTCAAGTGATGATGAACGATGATAGAATGCTGTACACAGTCGAGCGTCGAATCAACAGCCTTCGGCAATCTGCCTAACTACCTTATGAGGAGTCCAGAAGAGTGTTTTTTTACGAGAATGATAAGTTTCGCGGAGAATAATACGCTTCACATTATGATTTCACTGTATGACGCGCTTTCTGCCACTATTATCAAAGGATTCATTCCCATCACAAGTTAGGATTCCTCCCAGGGGAATCACGCTACTCTAGTAGTCTCTCCCTAGATCAACTTGAAAAAACAAACGTGACGAGATCGCCGAAGGCTGTTCATTCGTTCGGCTACTAATTCTCTGTTCCATCATCACCCATTCACACATAGCAACGGAAAAGATCACTCGCTCTGCTCGCCCACAGATGAGCTACTTTGTAGAATGCGTTGGCTAGTTGTTTTGCAGAGCGCCATATCGTAGTTAGTCGCCTGGCCGCGAGGCTTCCCAATTCAATGTTCGCTGCCTCCGTCAAATATCGGGTTCTTCTTAGGACCACAATTTCCTCATGAACCACACATATGAAAAATTTTTATTGACCATGCAAAAAAGCTAGCGATACATCATCGAAAATTCTGAAATACTAAAAAACATTGCAAAAACGGATTCTGTTCAATTACAGAAATTAAAAAACAAAAATGAGAACAAGAAAGGGAAGACGATAAAACACGGGAACCATCACGGCTACTATCGGTTAACGCATAGGAACAGATGTTCAAGGATAAAGATGTGATTACTGAAGAAACTGCAGAAGTATTGATTATATATTGACCGACCGACACATTCACTAATCAATTATCAATTGAAGCGCACGTGCGNGCACAGCAGGCGGAAATGGTTGCGGCTGGCAGTGGCGATCTACTGGATCTGGATGCCAGTCAGCTCAATGTCGCCCTGAATCTGGAGGCCACTGATATCGTTGGGGTCTTGACGATGAGCGAACGAAGTGAAACGCTCGCCGTTCACGAATATCTGAAAAGAAATGACGATAACTATAAGTTCCGCAATATCCAATAGCAAATATTAACGCAATGATAACTGTTCACTTAGAGCCAGTCACAGAATATGAACAAGGATTATTTCTTATGGTCAGTTTGACGAACAAGCCAAATGTCGACAAGGTAGCCGCATCGAAAGCTTCCACCTATGCAACCCCTTCCCTATTGTCTATGTTCACGCCTATCTTAGTTCATCTGATCTTGATCATCGCTTTCATCGTGATGTAACCTTTCCACTAATTGTTGTCATCAAGGTGATGTTAGGAAAAGACTACTCGCCCGATTCACATTCATCTAACACATAGCACAAAGAGAAAATGATGCGCGAAAAGTAAGGCTTACTATTTTCGCAAAACCGTTTTCAAAGTATGTCCGAAGATGCTAAAGTGCCTATGAGAATTCTGCCCGTGCGAAAAGTGTTGTACGTACGAAAACATGGAGATGAAATTGATTTGAAAAAAAACTGTTTCATAAGAGAACAGGAGTTCATTTTAGAACGCTTACTCTATCAGCCTCATCTACGACAGGCAAAACCAAAAATGGAAAAAAGGCAATTCCATGCACAGAATGTCTGCATTTAGTTGTCGGGGCCCTCTCGCACTCCGTTTAAACAAGTGAGGCCTAGGCTCTTCAATTTCATGCAACAATTGTCAGAAGCAAGCAAAAATAAGTTGTTCAGATACGACCGAAGAAGACACAACAATAAGTAATCTGAGAAAAAAAGGATTGACGAAAAACTGAACGATGAACGAACCTGGAAAGCGTATGCCTCGTTTTTGATGGCCAAATCAAAACCGACTCCTTTTTCGAACGGCATCTTGCCTTCCCTCTCTTCATTTCCCCATTCGTTAGCCGCCAGAGCGTTCCTAATCACTGCCTAAAACAGCAATTGCAGATAAGCACGAAAAAATAAAGTACAGGGCTTTGACACAATTCTACAAAACTAAATTGACCCAATGAGAATCCTCAGCATTATCCATACCTTCTCGTCAAATCGAGGATTGAAATGCAGAGCGATATCACCATTTCGCCTGAGCAGATTGATATTGAAGCGCTTGGCTTTCTTTTCGACAGTTCCGAAAATGAGCAACGTCTTGTCGATAGGGAAACCGCTTGCGATTCCACTCTCGTATGGGACTGGCTGAAAAAAAGAGAAGAATCAAGGTTAATTATGTACATACAAAGTAAATTCTGAAAAGCTGCTGTATCTATTTCAGAGGATCGTTTAAGCGTTGGGCGAGCTACAACAATCAATTTAAGGCTCTTGAAAATATTGCACTTCCTTGATTCGTTCAACTCTTGACTCTTTTTGTGTTTGGTGCGAACAAGGACTGGAAACATGTTTTGGGGTTCCCAAAAGCTCTCTATCAATATCCGAAAGATATCAGGCCATTCGAAATAGTTTTAATTTAATTTTGATTTTTCAAGATGAAGATTTGCTAGAACACCAAAGAAATACAGACATTTGTGGTTTTTTTGGGTTGGCAATTACTCAGACCTAGATAACAGCGAAACAGCAACAAAATGCTCAACGTAGTCGCAAGAATAACACACCGCAATTCCAAAATGAACGATGTCCTTCAAACTGTTCAGAAACTGCCGGAAATGTTTAAAAGGATAGGAAGCGAAGCAATCAAAAGTTATGACCATTCAAAGATCCATGAATTACCAAAGTGTTGGATCACGCTGCCTTGTGAATAAGCAATGAAGCGTGTTCTTTTTTTTTNTTTTTTTTTCGAAGTATTCCCTCACACCTCTCAACATCCAACAGAATCCTTTGTGGCACTCTCCCTAGTTGAAAAAAATTGTGAAAATACAACGGCGACTTTGAAATCAGCTTTTATAGGGATCACATGGAATTAAGAGAAACGCTCCCGCTAATCGCTATACGTAATTGTTATGTCCCTGGTCCAAGCAAAAAGTTAGGGCTCCCTATTTTTGTGAGACTAACGCTAAGAATAGTACTTTTTTGGCCAATTCCTTTCCTCCCTATCAGCCCCTCTCGCTCACAAGTATGGCGCCGCAGTTACGCACACTTCGCTTTACGATCGCTTATCTTTAATAGGATGCGCAAAAACCACTTCGACCAGAGCTAGAAAACAGTTTATAACCACGTTCATGAGCAGGGTCATAGGTACATGTGATTAAATATCGACTGCGAGTTTACGAACCATGAAGGGAGAGGTCATTCATGCCTGATCCAGGGAACAGAACGAGAAATATTTGGCAGCTAATCGAACTACTCCGGCCAGTTCTAGTTTCATTCGGCTGGATGACAAGAGCTGGCAGTAAACCTTAGCAAAATAACTTGGGTAATCATGAACGCTCTTGTACATAGCTGCCGCTATTCCCAATTCGTGAATAGATAGTCTTACGATTTCAGCGAGCGAATCAACATTCATTCAACTTTTCGAACAAGTAGTTTCATTTTAGACAGCCAGACGTGAATCATTAGCAAACTGAATGCCATTATACATCGTTTTATTTGGCCTTCATTTTTCTTTAGCCGCTGAAGCTACAGTACTCCCGAATAACAACATTAGCATTGAAAATAATAAGCGCTGTTCTACTAGAAGCAGTGCTTGATCCGGTTCGTGAGGAAACTTTTTCATATTCGGAAACATGTAATCACAAAATAGAGTAAAACTTACATAGTATTTTCCTCCCCAGTGTACGTGGTTCAAATAGAGATCACCATCGATCGACAGATGCGTGATGCTAGTCAGTGGAAGGCGATGCTCATAGTCCTTGAACTCCTTCTGGTCGATAACGATCTGAAGAAAAAATTTAATGTTCACGACTGAGCGAGCGCTTTGATGGATCAATGCAAAATCTAGGTCTCTGAGCGTGACTGAATACCAAAAGAATCCTCTTATAGTCAAAGACTTAATTGACAAAAAGCGATAGTGAAGGCAAACTGTAAATGTGACTCTGAGGAACTGCAAACCAAAAAACCAACGAGAATAAAGCGAGTAATAGTCGTATTAGCGATAGAATGGAAAGCAACACTAAGCTAATTGCAGCAGACACCCGACAGAGCTGGGAAGGAAGGACAAGAACAGGTCTATGGAGTTCAAAAATTTCTATTAGGAGGTAATAGGCCACAACGTGGCCTTTCAAATTGAAATTCGAACATCGAGCATAGTGAAGCATCCCATTTACCACTGTTTTCAAAGTGACCTTTGTTCAAGGGAGCTTGAGAACGCTCACCTAGCACCTGGTTGCTGGCACCTTCTTGCTGATGATCATGTTACCACCGCTTAGAGTTCGTCGGGAGACGGGCGTTAGGAACGATTTTGGGTAATCGATTCGCCGCACGCGGCTGTCGCGGACCACTCATTCGCAATTATTACAGCTCTAGCGTTCTTCATACAGCTCAATCGATATGCGATCATTATTTTATGCGTAATTATACTATTAGTACTTTTGTTCTTGTGTTTCTTACCTACTGCTGCATCCTGCTACATTCCTTCGCGCGCGACGCCCCTCTCACCGCGACGCGATCATTTCGTTCCTAACGCACCACACCCGATAAGGGATGATTATTAGCAGCGACTGTAGGCATAGTGCGTTACTATTATTGTAACCTGCATAGAAGACGGTAATGCTAGGCGACGAACTCGGAACTACAATAATAGTAATGCACTATGCCTACAGTCGCTGCTAATAATCATCCCTTATCTTCTGAAGGAAATGTCTTTCCTTACATTCAGTTCTATCGAAGAACTCTTTTATCGTATAAGCAAATAGAACAGACTACTGCGGTAAAATTAATGGCAAGCGTCATTGCGACTTGCAGCTATAAACACACTACCACGAATCTATGTTGATAAAGCTTGAATAATCAAAAAATATTAAAGTCGAGTAACGGTACCTGGAAACGGTCATCATGAGCGCGGATTCGGATATCGAACGAGTCTCCTTTCTTGATCGGGAGTGATTTACGCTCTTCTTTTCCCCATTCACCGTTTGCAAAAGTGTTCATAACAACCTGAAACAACTCCGAGTACAGAGTGGAGCTGCCGATCTCTTTTCACTATTTTGTAAGATTCATTTTATGCGATTCGGCTTGCTGTTTCAGCCGCCACGTTTTTCAATTTGCCTTTAGATCGATCCAAGTCCTTGAGCCCCGAAATATGCAAAAGAACGGCTATTGAACTCGCATTTCGTGTACACATCGCCACTTACCACTTGGTTATGCGAACTGGAGTATAACTTATTGCTAGTTGAACATTACATTACATTACTAAGTCAACAGTATCGCAAGAATACATCGATATTCAAGAACAGACTATATATTGGCTCGTTTGAAAGTCTGACCAGGGTTCTACAGTTAGTTGGCAATTTTCCCCCATATTTAACGCGCATACATTCATGGCACCTACCGGAAGAAATCTAAGATAAATGGCATTACCACAAGTTCTCTGAGAGGTGGATTTAGCCTACTGAACCATTTAGAGGTACACATTACAGAGACAGTAGAGGTAACAGAAATGACCATTTTCAGATGAGAGTAGGCTTGAACACTTACCACGAAAATTTAGTGAAAACAAGACATTTCGTTGCTGCACAAATGCAGAAACCCTTGCTTTCCTTTTCAAATCCAATGCCCCAAGCCTGAGAATAACAATCCAGATGATCTACTTGGCTAGGGGATTTCGGTCACTTTCTGGCCTTACCTGTCCCTCGTTGTCTGTTACCTGTCCCTCGTTGTCTGGGAACTTCTATCCTCATCGATTTAGGAGCGCACCCGTGCCTACCCATGAATCTGACGGATACGCAGCTTACAGAAAAACCGCAGAGGGGGAATTCAGGCGCCGTCAAAACGACGACCATTGGGGCATTGCCTCACCGTGGCTATTTCTCGCGCACGATCCGTCAAAACGCCACTTGGGGAAAAAGTACGACCAAGTTCTGATCTAGCCAGTCTAAAGTGAAAAAAATGGAATGGAATTTTTCCCAGAAAACGAATCTACAAGAGGAATCACTAAATCGAAGATCGTGAGATGAGTCATATGGTCTTACAACCCATAGAACATGCTCCAAAAAATTTACCAAACATCTTCAGACACTTGTAATATGCTCAAAAAAGTAATAATTCCGAATTTCCGGGTCGTCTTCACCCAAATAGAGCTGTATACAGACCTTACAGGTTTTAATCGAGTTATGTCGACTCCCAGGTAATGAGAATCCAGAATGGGCAAGCAAGTAAAGCAATATTCTTCTTTGAAGGTAAGCGGTCAGGTTTTATATGACCAAAATGATTTAGGAAGTGATGTCCATTCCGATGATAGGTAACCGGCTCTTTCGAAAATTTCAGTTATTTGTGAAACCAAGTTAATTTAAAAATTTAGCTAATTCCCGATAAACTGATCTCGTTGCTGGTAAGAAATTATGACCGTAGACCGAAAGTCGACTGATCAAGGGCTGAGTTCATCATTTTCCCCTAACTTCATGACCAAGCAATGTTTACGAAGCTGTGTCCCAGTAATGAACAAGCATTGCAGCGAAATTGATCGAATTTACCCTAAGATCAGGCTGTCGGTAACGTAAGTGGGAAATTCCGTTCTGTATCCAGGATCCAGTACACTCATCCTTTCATTTTCTGCAGTCGCAATACTCGAAGATCCCCCTCCCCTATCCTCTTAGTCCCCATTTCCAGGTCTTGCACCTGGGAATTACCTTTCGCCATCCACTATCTTTTTGCACGTCCTTGTACGAACGAACACATTAGAGTGCAACCGGGATTTCGCTACAAAAATGTTACGGGGAATTAGAAAATGCACGACACATATTATAATTGACAGCGATTAGCTGTGGAACGAGCCTACGTTCTATACATACCACGCTTCACTGTAGCATGAGTACATATTGATTACCGGAAGGAATGGAATTCCATAGGAAATCATCCTGGTGAAAGTCCAATTCTCGCTTTGAAGATGGGCCCAAAAATAGCGAAAAGGGATTGCAAAAACTCGGAAGGAAATTTTGATGAAAACCTTATCAAGGGCGGATGAGAACATTAGTTCTACCGCATATTTCCTACCAACAGTGAACCATTTGCTCACAACTCGTATCTGCCATGCCTGAAATCGCCTTATACTTCTTGACTAAATAACGCGGTCCCCGATCAGAAAAGCTGCCATCTCTGCCAGTGCATTGAAATAGTGCTATGAATCGGCCTACGGGCGAAGATCAAAGTCCCCGCTCGCTTTATTGAACAATGAAGGTGAACATAAAACATATGGCACTCGTACTACATAGGGTCGCTTCTCTCACGTACCTCCGTTCCTTGGCTACTTGATTATTGACCTCCAACGCTCTCTCAAATATATTTTGAAAAAAAAGCTTCAAGAAAACTGCTGACAGATCGGTGCACTCAAAACTTGTAACAATTATTAGTACAATCCCTATCAGCCGGCCATTTTGAGCGATTTACTACTTCAAATAGTTCCCTTGGATTGAGATTTCGAGAATAATTTTTTGGCTCACCTTTCCTTCATCGAAACGAACGGAAATGTGAAGTGGCACATCATTGCCGGAGAAATCCGCTGATTTGCTGTGTAGATTGATGGTGAATCTGAAAAGGAAAACTTTAAATGGAAATATTCAATATTCTATTTACAGAAGGATCAATATGAAAGGAGCGCGTTTGATCGTATTAACTTTTTTTTCAAACAAATTTATGGAAAGTAAAGAAGCGCCCATCAAAGAAATTGCTTGCGTGGGGTGTCATAAAGCAAGTAATTGGTCATCGCAAAATCTCTGCGATGCCGACGTCCTGGATACCCCTCAATTCCCCTCAAATCAGAACCTTTTCATGAAATTTTAATTTTTTAACTAGTCTGGCGTCGATATGACCTCAAAACCCTCTCACATATACAAAAAGGGCAGTAACCCTCTCTCTAGTCTTTCAATGACATACCCTCATACATTAGAAATCATGGAGAGCTGCAAATAGTGGACCAAAGTGCATGCGAGTACAGCAACACATCTTACCAGTAAATGATAACATTAGCAGAACAACACTGAACCCAGCTTGAGCAGATCAAATAGCCTTCCACAACAAAGCAAAAATCCAAAAAGTGGAAAAAAACGAAATTAGCCACCCACCTCTGCGATTCATCGATGGTCGATCCTTTGACGATCAACGTCTGCCCAGGTTCGATCTTCTCCTGCAGCAAGCTGCGGTAGGGTACGGGCTGAAATGAAGCGAATAAATAGAGACTCGACTAACTTGCTGATAGCTTTTCCCTACATTTTTGTTAATGAGTCCTATAGTAGAAGGCGATTCTAAATTCAAGCAGGTGTTTCGGAAGCAAATTGTTTTATTCGCAAGGCATTTTGAAATAACAGGCTGACTTTCATCTCAAAAGGATCACTAAGACTTTGCCGAATCCATGTCTATCTACACGCATCTCGTGTACTACGTTTAGCCGAGAGGATCTGCTAAGAATTTCGCCGTCATTCCAAATTTCTCACCGGGTATTTTTTTTGATGCTTCTATGGAATTACCATAAAAGGACACTAATCACTTGTAGCGTATAACTTATCAGGATATTTCATGGTATCTAATCGATTGACGAGATCGAAACTCATCTTTGATCTTTTTCAGATTGAGAAGCGTTGATTGAATATGGCTAAACAGTTCTATGAGCAAATAAGCAAGAAAGAATTGTCCGGATATGTTTTGTTTACATACGTAGGTAGTACACTGCATAGGTGGCAGATAAGAGGCTCGTGTAATCAGCAAGCAATTGCATAGTACAGTCGCATCGTACAACTAGCATGGCCGTTTTGTTTTTAAAAACTGTCGCACTATTACCATTTCACTCCCGTAAAAATTGCCCATCCCCTTAATATTAATCATTCAAATTTCGAAAGAGAAATGGCCAAAATCCATCATTCATAATGTTTTCCGGTATGACTAATATAATAGCCACGTCACATTTGTAGAGCCCATGACCTAAAAATATGTCAAGTGTAACCGGTAAGGGTAACGGCGAAAAATTCCCCCAAGTTTCCGAGCACCATCGACTCTTTGATAATGCCATGCCCAGAACTCAGCGATACGACGGCTCGCAAAAGTGCATTTTGCCGTCGCGATAGTCGTAAAAGTGCACCGTCAACACAATAAAAACTTATAAACGATGAATGCGGAGAATTCACCGAACGGGACCTTTAGAAGGATGCATTCTTTGTAAGTAATGTACTTTAGCTACTGTACCAGCAGCACGAAATAGTTATCTAGTTCCTAACTGCTAAACTGGTAAATGAAACACACTAAAGACATAAAAGGTATAAAGCGTTGGTTTCTCCTGGTTCCGTTCCGTTCATTCCTATTCCCTTATACTGATAAACACCTAGAAACATTAAAAGACATATAGATCGGTTGGCATACTGGAAGACGTTGCGAATACGTTAAAAAGTCTACCCTGCGACTCAAAGACAGCTCAAACTTTTGCAGGGCTAACGAGGAAGTGTGACCGAATTATTCTACGAATTTGCTACGGAACGAGTCTTATCCTACGGACTTATGCATATTATAGAATATAAAACCTGCGAGTTTATATCGCCCTTTCTTGAGAATTTAGTTTATCAGCAAAAAACCTTTAGGTGCTTCCGAAGTGAAAAAGTAATGCTGTGTAAGAAAACCATGAGCTGGCATCATCAGCAAATTGAATCACGAATTGTGTTTCTCACATGAGAGAAATCGCAGCAAGAAGAGTATCAATGCCGTGAAGTTGAAAACAAAAAAAAAATTTCTCATGACTATGCACAACCATAGTTCTGCAAATGTACGTAAAATTGCGGTATTCACGGACTAAGCGGGCAGAAGTATGGAGTTCGAACAGAATACATTTAAGGATGGGCGAACATTTCAGTCATTTGTTATCATAACTCGGCGGATTGATATCGCAAACAGCCGGAAATGAATACGTGATCCATGATCTCTCGGAAGCACCTCGCAAAAAAGTTGTCGCTAGCCTAAAGGATCCTAAAAATCGTGGATTCTACAGCAAACATTGGGGTCATTTCCTGCAGCGTTCCAAGCTGATAAATCAACACCCAGCGCTTGAGCGTGCACTTTTTAGTAAACATGCCTACAATCCTAGTAAATTATCAGCAAGAGCCCGCAAATCCGCAAGCTCTACACCGATGTATCGGAAAACGAGTTAGAGAAGGAGAGACCTTTTTCTCGACGGGAGTCTCGCCTACAATGTGCCAGTGAATGATGTCGAGCAATATCAGCATACAGCTGCAAGTCCTATGGCTTGAAGACTGGCAGGCTGGCTGGCACGTCGACCACGACGACGACTACTTCGAAGCGTGCCGGCGGCCTGCTATAGATTTTCGCCTCGGAACCACGTCATTCGATTTTCATGTCAATACTATAAACAACAACAACAAAAGAAGAGGAGACGCTCCAAGAAGCTTACAATCAGGCGATGAAAACGCTAGCGCATCGATGGCGAGGCCGTGGTTTTCCAAGATCTGGATCCACTCCCTGGAGACTTCGCAGCCGGCGCCAGCTACGAAACTCCCAGAAGGTGTTATTATTGATGGCTTATTTTGAGATCAGCACATGTGTAAAGCAGTGTGACACCCTTTCAGGACAACAAATTATAGGCGCCGTTCTTTCTTAGATTTCTCCCTACACTGAACCTTTTACAAGGATCGTCCATGAGGCATTGTATGGTCGAAAAGCGGCCTAGACAAGGCGTAATAAGGTCTCCATTAGTGGTGTGGCCGAAGTACACACCCAAAAATGGTCGGTTGCTGAAGCTGCACCATTGGCAATGGAGCATACAAGTTGGAAATTCGGACAGCTAGTCGTGACTCATGGCGACAGTGGAGGGCAGGGATTTTTGGCTTGCGAGTGCCACTCAATTGAAAGCTCGTCTGGATACCTCTTCCACCGCTTTCGCCGTCATAATCTCCTGAGACCCCTTTTTTTTATTCTTTTTCGAACCCTCTATTTTTCTAAACACGCTAGTTTTACGCTTTCTATGACGCGATTACACTACTCCCGACCATCACTTCTATTATTTTGCCTAAACTAAGTACCTCAAAATCACCATGAATTGTGACTTTAAACAGTTACCGTGGGCGATGTTTCGTGCGACTTTCCGTGATGGCATTCCTTTCACTTCTGAATATTTCCCAGATGAATTAAAAATTAAACATTTCTCTTAGGAATCTCATAGGAGGGCAAATCTCAAGAGCCAATTTTTTCTCTTTGCCAAAATCGATTCAGAAAGGTTCACAGAAAATGTAGCAGATCGCCACGGTTGAAGGGCCCTATTCATATCGAACCTCCGCTTCTCTGTGTAAATGCTGTGCAGAACATTCTTATGTCTGGAAAATAAGGAGAAATGGGAAGAGTTCCCGACGATTTCAATCGATTTCTATCAACAACAATTGACAGTGCTTATACCCGAATGCTTCAAATTGCACGAAGTGGAGGAGAGACGTTGGCATTGCCAACTGTTTTCGTAGATCGGGCACCTAGCAATAATAGTAAAGTCTGATGTAATCAACGTCTACATGACCGGAAAGCTAAGCTGGCATTTGTACTAAGCCATCTGAATCTGGAAACAGATTCCCAATTAGAAATACATCCCTTTGTTCGCGTTGTTGGTTCTGGATCAGGAAGTTTCTAAGCTATCGAGCCATGCATTCCTTCTATTGCCCAAATTACACAGATGTTTGCATGTGCGTGGCGTATTATGTTGCCAGACGTTAGGTTGGCATTACACAGTTGAAATGGGAAATTTCAGTCAGAAATAGCCGTAACAAGTATAAGGCCAGCAGTTACGTGCCAGCCTGTATGGTTGCTCCGGAGTGGATATTTTTCAAAATTCCGAAATATTTAACTTTGAAACTTTGAACGCTCACAAAGAAGCCAGAGCTAGGTGCATCGAAATGAGGCAATTCATCTTCATCCTATTCTAATCGAATAGCAAGTTTTTGCACCATCATTCCTCCATCTTCCCACTCTCCCTCCCACTTCCTTCACCTTCCCACCTTGACAGCACCGCAACTGCAACGATGACACATTCGCTATCAGCTTGATCGTTGAAGACACGCCCCGATCATGGCAAACTTCGAGAACATTCCCGATGCTGACTAAGAGCGTGAAACGGCGCCATTATAATGGTTGGCATGGCTGCGAAAAAGCAGTGAAACTAGCTATCACAAGAACAAACATTGGGGGAAGGATACTGTACAACGAAACTCTGATGGGAAGTGGATTACCAGTTATACCCTTGCATTTATCGAATCATTTCAAGAAGGACCCGTTTGGACACTCCAGCAGTCTTCCCCCTTCCAGCAGAAAAACTTGAAAATGACCCTGTTCCTCTTCACAGAATCAATGTGTACACGACGTGCCGTGGCTGGATCCCACTTGAAATCAAATTGGCCAGAAAGATTGCATCCAAGGAAATTGATCAAATAATGTGGAACGAATAGCAAAGTACTCCAGGATCTGGTTGGACACTTTTCATCCCATTAACACCGCTGCAGTGGACGTCATGGACGAGTAATATACCATCGCTGTGTAAAATATGTAGCATACCCACAGTGAAAATCACAATATGAATTTCAAAAATGGTATTATTAAAAACTCACATTTCAAGTTGTGAATACACTTAATGAATTGTTTTGGAGTGGCATTTTACTATATAAATTGATTATAGGAACAATATTCATTGAAGAGGCAGGAATCTGTTGCAAACCGCCGTTTCAAGGAACTTCTGGCGGGCTTGGGAACTCAAGGAACTTTCAAGGAACTTGGGCAGAAATTTTTTGATGATCCTATGCCATCTTGCAGAACTCTTACAGAATGAACTAGTTTTCCTCCAATCAGGCTCGAAAACCTCCCCAGTGGACAATAGTCTCTTTTGAGAACCCTAAAGACAATGGTCAAGCCAAAAAATACTGGTGACCATCTTGGCTACCTTTATGACGACGAGCTTCTCTAACGCAACGTTCCCTGAACTTATCCATTCATGGTTCAAAAAATCTATGCAGTTTACGATTTGTTTCAGAAGGACTTGGAACTTGATCTAAGCCTTATTCTTCAGACCAGAAGTTTGATGGGTTCAAAGTCCTTTTTAGACAGAAACCATCCATCACCCTTTTAACGGGAGAGCGTCTGTATATGCTCTACAATATAAACTTTTGAAACAGAATCAGCCTAAATCACCTAATCCAAAAATTAAAGCTGTCCAAAACCAGCCCAAACTCCTCCTGAATAATCAATTATCAATAAAATCAATTGCACCTATAATCTAGAACTATAGGTCTTAATCTTTATCGCAGGTCTGTAATAGGCGGCAAGAGCCCAGATGGTCTGCCCATATGGGCGACAGCTCTACAAAATCTCACCTTGTTGTATTCGTACCAATGTAGGAACTGTGACACCATGCTGCCGTCGATGACGAGGACGAGGCTAGAATGACTTAGGCGGTCTGTGGGCCGTGGGTGATTGCGAGAGGCGGTGGCGGAGCCAGACGAAAGGATGATTCAGCGACGACGTCCGCAAAAATGCGTCGACGTCGCTCAGACGGAGGCCACAGTTGCGTCTGGGTCCCCCACCAAAGCTATGACTTATAACACAGCACTCATAACACAAAAAAAGAAATGAAGGCCACGAAAGAGGACGCAAACCGGCGCCTCCGTTTGAGGGTGTATCCGTTTCGGAACAATATGGGAACGGAATATAAATGGTGGATCATTTGCGAAGTTCCGATGACAATAATTCGAAATGGAGAAGATGTATCGAAGTCTTCTGCTGAAAACGGTCATGGGAGGGCGTACGTACTAAGGAACAGCAGCTAGCTGGCCTGGACGGACTGCCTCGCTACCTCAGAAGATTGAAGGTTTACCACTTCAGAAAATTGGTACCTTCATGGAATATGGAAGAAGAGGCAGGCTTAGTCAGATCCCCATATGTGAAAAGTATGCTTCGGCGATTTCCTGGGTGTTCGCCCCAACCGCTTAGAAAGTGGTCTTCAATGAATTATTCGGACCCGAACAGACACTTCGTTGTTCGTCACCAAGGTTATTAATGAATGTTATTCAACACAACATTAGCACATATAGTCTAAAAAGACTAGTATCAAGAAATGAGCGGATTAGCAGATCGCCGAATTCACCTGCTACCATTTAAAGCCGGATAATTTCACTATATCGGTGGCTGTTCCCTTGGCAACGCATCTTCTGGGGAATATTTTGTGGGATAGTGGCGGGCTGGGATTAACGTTCATATAATACTGAATCTATGGACGTAGTCTAGACGAGATGAATTGCTGCTAAAGGGGACTGAAGGTTCATTATGAGCTGAAAAGACATTTCGGACGCACAGGGAGTTCTGGAAGAACAACAAAGGGTCAAGGGGAGGGATCTGAGAAATCTAGCAGGTACTTGGCAGGAACTATTGCCACTACTTGGTAGTGGTAATAGAAAAGTTAACATGATTCCAGCCAGGAAGCCGTAGATTTCTCTTCTTTGAAAAAATGCTTCCATCCTTCGATTTTCTCACGAAAAGGTGTAGGGATGGGGAATACTTCGGACAACGATCATTCATCTTGCGAACTCGGAAATCTCAGAAGAAACCATTGCAGCTGAGGAACTAAAACAGAAACTGAATGAGTGCCAAATAAAAGTATAGTCGACGTTTAACGAGCAGCAAGGAATGGGGGAACTTCGTTATCAGTGTTGTTAGGAGATCAATAGGAGCAAAAAGGTGGGCTCAACAAACATTAGCCTTTGTAGAAGTAGGCCGAACCTGGCCGTTAGCCGACCGACCCTGACCACTCTATGAAAATGGAAACCAACTCAACCGGATCGACAGCGATTACTTCTCTCCTCTAAATCTATTGAAAAGGGTTCTGTGCAACCGCCAATCTAAACGTATCCAATTTACGGCATCATTCAACAGCAAACTGGTCGGACGATAAAAGAAGTAGCGTCTGATGAAAAATTGCTTCTGCTGTACTTTGTATAGTAAAATTTCAAGCCGTTACCGGAGATCATAGAGGGACCTATGGCGAATCCATTGAAAAAAATTTCTACGGCCTTCAACTTCGCCAGCGTTCCATCGTAGAGCGGAAATATTTCCAAAGTAGTCTCAGTATACAAAAGAAATTAAAATTTTCAGAACAGACAAAAGAAAGCTGAAGCTGCTTTAAAGAAATTTTGGCAAGATAGGCGCGAATGTTCACAAGTGCTCAGATTTCACAAAAAGGAAATCAAAACATGCGGCTGCTATCCAGTTAATAGTGAATTCTCAACTTATATTTATACATAGCAGTTGGGAAGATGGTTCACAACTGCATCCCTTTTCTTTATCTCTTTGTTTCATTACTATATTCAGCGCTTTATTTTCACATTCAACTCCTGAATATATCGCATGGTTAAAAATACTAAAATACGATGTTACTAGGAATTGAAAACTGAAATAGCCATCTATTACATCGGACTGTCGGAATTCCTAAAATCGTGGGGTTAATAGGAAAAAAATAAGAATCAATTCCAGAAAAAACAGGTGGGCCAGTCCAGTTTGATGGTCTCTTGCTAGGTTCCGGTAGAGGAAGGTTCTGTGTCTAGTTGTCTGGTTCCCTGTTTCTCACTTTTACTAATCAATGCCGATCAATACTTTGACCTATTCGAGCCGTCCGATGAATTTTAGCATTTTGTGCGGAAAAACAAGCCCCGTTCATTCACTGACAGATTGTCCGTGCGAGGAAAAAGCGTTCGCCGCTGCATATCGCGTTCACATCTGTGCCCGTCCTGGTGTGTAGCTGTGTAGAAGAGAGAAAAAGGGCTATGTTCGAAGAGAAATGGGCCGCGTTAAACGAACTTTGAATGTAATCAATGGCGCTCATAAGCCTTTTCCACTCTGGCCCCCTCTGCATTGAAAAGAGCTTTTTGAAGGNCATGGAAATGGGGGAAAGTGTTCCATCTAGAAGTCATCGTTGCCTGTTCAGGGTATTGAATGGGACTAGATGTAAAGAATTTCCCGGCAAGAGCTTTAAAACGAGTGATTGTGGAGTTTATTGAATTTTTTACATAGACCCTTGCAGCATTGTACTACCATCACCTGCGAATATAGTCGGCGAATAAGAAACGCCGACGGCTCACGAAATTACACTACACCGAAAAAACGCGTCGCTTGGCGTCGTTTTGTAGCTGCTCCACCTGTTCAGACTTGCCATGGCCTACTTACAATCATTTCTTCACTTCTGCGTGCGCGTAAGAGAGGTTGCGTCAGGGCTAAAATCAATATGCATGTTTGTCACAGAAAGAGGGGCGATAATAATTACTGAGCAACGTAAGCTGCAGTAGTGATTGTTCATTCGAGAACAACCCTTTATCGTTTTTGGGAGGGCATCTGAGCGAAAGCATGTTTTGTGACTCGCTGAGAGCTTCAGCGCTGAATGAATGCTTGATGGACTGTAAAAAAAAAAACACTACTTATCAGGAAAAACTATAAATATTACATGAAAGAGTGGAACTAATAAAGCTACAAATCGTTTCGTAAGTTTTCCACCCATTCAGGTCGCCTCTTCTCCCTTACCCTATTGATGAGTACAATGAGGGAGTATTGACTGCCCCCGTAAACGCGGTTTTCGATCTACATCTTTGATGTCCTTCGGTCTAGTGCTGTATGGTTCTGCCCTATCTACCCTTGTTTGTCTAGAATATAAACTGGCCATACTCCTATTTGCAATCTCACTAACAGCGAAAAGCTTTTAAACCATTTCGTTCCTTCAACTCATGGAAAATAGAGGGATTACAGCCGTTAGGGGCAACATTTCAAGAAAATAAAAAAAATCCAACAGCAACCTTAAAATCTTCCAATACCTTTTTTTGTTTATGGCAACTTTACAACATCCGGTAACTGGTGCGAACCTCCACACATTTCTTGAAACTATCTTTGTGCCCATGTTACTTCCCCGAATATCTCTACCCGTCATCACATTATTGCTTGGGGCGAACAGAACGTTCCCATGCGTATTGACAACCGCTTTGCCTTCGGTTTGAAATAAATGTTATTTCAAAAAAAAAAAAAAAAAAAA